CTTCATAGAATAGCGGTGTGTGAATCCTGAAGACATCTAGCTGAAGCATCAATTTGTTCATAAAAATAATACAAAATAAACATCTGTGAATCTACTACGAATTTTTTGTATATGTAAATAATGTCAGTGAAATTATTTGTGAAACTGTAGTATCTTTCGCAGAATGTAACATGAAATGCTTGAAAAGCGTGCAACTCTGCGAGAAAAATAAGGTTGCAGGGGCAAATCATTAACATTGAAGTAAATGCCTATCTTGCTAAATTGGAGAAATATCGCCAAATTTTGCGACATTGTAGCCCGGTATCTGCATAACTGTAATTGGTACTACAATTGAATAACTGTAATTGATCCCTGTATATAAGTATAACAGTATCCTACCCTTATACGTATATGACTTCCCATAATTTCAAGAAATGGAAAGTATTAGAGATTTCTCGGCGAAAAATGTACGAGTGCTTTTGTAGAAATTTTCAGTTTTTTTGGGGGGCGGTGGTAAAATAAAGTTTTTAAAGCTATCAATCGATCCTGTGAGCATTCAATCCATTGAAACCCCGCATGCACACAACAGTAATATAAAATACACGAAGTTCAGAATTTCATGAGTGCCTCCCCCCCGAAAGATAATAGTAATATAGGACTTACACCAGACAGTAGAGCCATTAAGATGTATGGGACAACATGCTATGACGTTACAGAAGCAATAACCTGTTCAGTAACATCTCTATTTGACACTAAAAAAGCCATAATTTCAGAACCAGTGTCAGAGAATTTTAGCGATCTTTATGTTTATCATCAAAGCCTCTCGGTCTTAGGAGGCTCTTCGACCAATAATTTTGTAGCTCTGATATCATCTTCAACCATAATGCATCAGTTGAAGTAAAATACAACAGTAAAACTAAAAAAAGTGTGACTACTTCAGTCTGCAAAATGTGCCAGACGGTAAGTAAAAGAGAACGTGCTAAACCTTTCGATGTACTCTTGCCGCTAGCTAGAATTGTGTCTTCGTGCAGTGAAGATTATTATTATACTTACTTCTGTAAACTGACTAAATGCCGATTGCATTTAGCATTGATACATTTAGCATTGATAATTAATTCATTGCTGATATCGTAATAAATGTGTTAAAATTAGGTTACTTGTACATGCCTATTACTACTTGTACACGTAAATTATACTTGTACATGCCGCCAAACTACCAGTCACCTCTGTCTAAATGACAAACTGAAGCAGGTAAAAATTACGTATCGAATGAATATTATATCGCATGAATGATAAAAATTACGTATACAATTAATGTGAGAACTTAGCAGTCTTCAGAATTCTCTGAAAAGAATAAAGGGTTGTATCAGGTTCGGACTGAAAAAAGATAGATACTTTTGAAAATGTACGGACTTAAACTCTTAATTGTTGGTGATAACGATGTTAATTTATTCAGCTACTGAATTATCATAACATTTTAAGTTACAAGGGTGGTGATAAACCTAAGCTGAAGTTTTTTATGGTTATATTTTAATTATTGATTCAAATGCGCAGACAATTAAAATATATCGCTTAAAATAAGCAAAAGTTACAGTTTCTGTCGATTATGAGAAAATCATTTTTAAAAAATGAGATTTTGCTTAATACTGTGAATAAATTAAGGTTCAAATCGATATTAATTACTTGTTCCACTCGCTTACCACGATGTCTTAATCGTGTAATAGCAGTTCATTTTGAAAAGAATTTGAATTTATTTCTGTAAATAAGATATAAATGGCATGAAGGGAACTTGCGAACAATGAACCAATTTCGTTTTGTCGTAATAAAATACATTAATTTTCTCTCAGGCTTCATGTATTTTCCATTATTATCTAGAAATTAATGCCTTTCTTTGAATAACTTTTACGTTCTTTTCTTGACTCATGGGATCAACAGGTGTTGCCTTTCGACTGCAACTCTCAATTACTTGGATATTTTTCCAAGCTTCGGTATTTATCCAGCATTAATGCTTGAGCAGATTTGTGAGAATGAATTTGTAATATACGCGAGATTCTTGGACTTACGATGATGCATAGCTTGCTCTGATGACTGCCTGCCTGGAATGTAGTATATTAGAAATCTTATCAAGCGAAAGCTAATGACTTAACGGGCGTTTTATGCATACGAAAAACGTGAAGAAGAAAAAGCTGTTGATTTAATGGAGTGTTTTTTTAGGTAGAAAAACTCTTCAGAATGATATAAATTTGTCCCTATGTTTGCTGTCAAGGAAAGTTATATATTTTGGATGGAAAAGTTTTACAAGGAAAGTTATATATTTTGGATGGATGACGAATGAGGAAATTCTTTGTTGTAGGGTATTTGAATGATAACGTGGAACGTTTTCTAATTCGCAGAAGATGCAGGTTTCTGTTGATAAAATGCTTTGGGAGTAAACGTAGGTAGGAAATGGATTTCGAAATTGCCTACAGAACCTGTGGAATGCCTACAAGTCTATTAGTATCCCAGTTTCTAAATATATTGAATGTTGTCCTTCTTTTTTATATAATATCTTGCGGCGGACCACACAAAGATAAGAAATTCATGTGTGCGGTCTCGTCCCATTCACAATCTTCCAGCTGTTACGAGGTGTGAGACGACAGGCTCTGGCATTGCGGGAGCAATAACTTGTTCATAACAACTTCCATCTGCCATTACAAGAGTCATCACTTCACCACCAGTGTCAAAAGATTTTAGTGATCTTCACGGGATTTGTCATTAAAATCTCTCGATTTCAGGGCGGCTGACGCATTAATGATTCTCTATAAACTATATCGTTTCAATTATAAACAGTGAGCGGACATAAAATACAACCGAAAAATTAAAAGGGTGTGATTAATTCAGTCTGCAAACTATTTCAGACAGACCAAGATGCCAGAATGCTGTGAAATCTCGAACAGAGTGACTCTTGCCGCTAGCAAGTTCTTCGCATAATAAGAACAGTGCTTATCTCTCTTATGCATTACATTAATTTTTAGTTTTCGCTATTGTACTGTTAATAAAGCTTCTTGTATATTTATAATAAATGTGTTTTTAGTTCTATATGTAATAAGTCCATACGCAGCTTAGCCAATCCTTACATCAGTCTCCTCAGTACTGCAGCGCACCGTCATCACGCCAATCCCATTCCTGTTGCCATCACGTCAAGGCTATTTGTTGCAGATTGGTGGTGAAATATTTCTCGTTCAAGATAGTAAAGTAGTATGCCGCTGTTTATTTTTTTCTGTATCTTGTTAAGATATGTATAGTAGTACGCCGCTGTTTATTGTTGCTATATCTTGTAAGCTTATTTCACAAGTTTATTTACTGCAAAAAGTGATCACAGTTTAATTGGAGTAATCTCTTCTCATTCATGTAATTTGCGCATCAGTGGTTTGAAGATTCAGTGGTAATCCAAGTTTCTAATATATGGTGGTTCAGCAAAACATAATATCACATCAAATATGAATAAATCAGAAATCAATAATCGCCAAGCAATAAAATATAAATTGATTTAATTAATATAATAATCTCACAATCTCACATCATCACTGCGTCACATCTTCCATCAACTCTCAGAACACAGTCAATGGCGCTCTCAGCGCCCTCTAGCGTTACGCGGACTAATCGCAGATACCTGATATTTACAACAGTCATAATTCATCTTGGGACTCAGAATCTATGTCTACGATTGATTCGTCAGTCAATATATTCCATTGTGCCGCGTCTGATTGATTTTGACTCGCTTTGAATCCAGTCACCGTAGTATATTTAGCAAAATATTTTGAGTTCATTTCTATAAAATAGTTGTTCGGAATATTTTTGCTTTCATTTGGAATATGAAGCAACGATACTCCTCAACGGTTAAATACTGCTTTTAGATTAAATAAAGTTATGCATGGGATATTCTACCTTTGTTAAAACGTTTTTATTTACAAGAACGAAGTCCGGTTTAAACACCGCATTACCTTTAAACGAGTAATTGTGTTTTGTGATTTTTCCGCAATTTACACAAACCTGCAAATTCGTCAGAACTTAGTGTATATTAGCTTGCTTGTTAGCATTTGTCAACAAAACAGTTGAATAGTTTGCACTAAATATTACAAATATAGTTCGAAAGATAAAATACTTCAGTGCGTCACAGTGCTTAAGATACGAATGTTTACATTTTTTTTAATTATTGAATCTCATATAGATTGTTTATTTTTTTAAAAAATTAAAGCATAACATTCTTTTATCTTCTCATTCATTTTACAAAAATTTGTTTGTTTATACTGATGACACTTCAGTATTTTTAATAAGTTTTATCACTTATATTTCAGAAAGTTACAGTTAACATAACAATTGGTATCGAACGTGTTCTCGTTTTTTAGGAGTAATAAATTTCTGTATGTTACAGGCAATGCATTCTATAGAATACCTAGACATTTTATAGAATGACTATCATTTTTAGGCAAAGTATGAAATATGTGAATTATTATATACTTTCCCTAGTCATTGCGTACAATGTCTAAGCATTCCACAGAACGAGAAATGCAATTTAGGCAAAGAATGAAAAGAGGTCATGACAGGTCAAGACAATGCATTCCTCCAAAATACAAATGTTGTTTTGAAAAAATAAAGAAAGAATGCCATTAGAAAACTTTTGTTCAAAGTATGTGAAGAAAAATTTAAGTTTTACAAAACAAAATTTATGCCTTTTGTATTAAGAAAAACAATATATAAAAATGCAGAAAATGTGTGAATTAAAGGAATAAATTACTTAAATGTATGGATTGTATATGAATGCATTAAATATATTGATATTCGAAACGAATCAAAAATGTATTCATACTTTGCCGGTTTGTCATCTGGCATTCTATAGAATGAATAGAAAATGTATGAAATGGTAATCGTTTCTTAAATTGCCTGTCAGTTTTCGGCTTTCATAAAATGCCTTGGTATTCTATAGAATGCCGGCTTTCATTCACTGCCGTTAATATTTATACGTTTTCTTCTTTTAAAAGATGTGTGAATGTCCGGATTAGAACTAGTAGCTAGGGACAGTGCGTCTCAAATCGAGAAAAATGCCGAAGCTGCTGCTAACTACTTTTCTGAAGTTTATAACAGAGATGACGATGAGAGAAACTGGTCTTTCTCATACCTTAAGGTCAGTATTTGTATTTACCATTTGTATTCTGAGATTAATTCTTGGTTTTATTTTTATGTAAAATCATAGCTTACTTGTCAGATTAAGAGCAAAGAAATACAGTGATTTAAATATAATAATTCTCATTATAAACTAACTGTGTGCAAAACAATTCTGGATTGTATAGAGTTTTGTAAGCTACTGGCTTAAATGTGGTTTTTAACAATATTTTTTATCCGCATATATTATTACTTCACATCACATATTAATCCTATTGATACAGATAATTTTTTTTTTTACACATGCCTTTTATAATTTTATCAGCTTCTTTTTGTGAACTCTATGTCTGTAACTGTGCCAAATCTGAACAAGACTAAAATCAAAGTGTACGATTACACTGACACATTTCGCTGTAATCATATTTTTTATATGATTAATAATTTCTAAGAAACATCCAATATCTTAAACTTAATCTTCTTGTTGCTTACATTTATAGTTTTGTGTTAAAATAAACTCTGCACAACCCTTTTTTTCTTGGTGACAAAGTCAGGTATTTTAAACAAGTTGGAGAGATTATGCTGCTCGTGTTTCTGAAGTCGCACGTTTGGTTGAGGTATTGTTGAACCAGCTAAAAATTAAGTTTCCTCCAGTTTCCGTTAACTGAAGTTGCAGGCCAAAAAATTGAAAGTGTAAACTTCTTTGAAAACAGCGATCGGAAAAACGTCGAGGAATGGTTCGATAGCGATTCGATTGAGCCGAACTTTCATTGCTCAAATGATGCGAATATTGTTTCAAATGTCGCAAGAACAGAAGAGGCAGAGAGTGATGCTGAAAATACTGACAAGTACATTTAGCCCCGAGTCGGCAATGGTTTCTGTTGAAACTCTATTGATTTTCGTCGACTAAAGGAGATTCGAAAACAATGATAAAATAGCATTTCGGAAAATATGCATTGAGAATCGACAAATATTTAAAGTTCTCAAAAACAAATTAAATTACTGATTTCTTTAAGAAATAAACACATACAATATGCATGAAAATTGAGAGTTTGGATTATCCGTGTTTCTCATTTGTTTGTGACCAACTTTCCCGGCATTAGCCCAGATAATCGATAGTATACTATACAAATAAAACGCGATGCAGCAATTAAGTCGAAATGTTTGAATCTTCTTCTTCTTTTGTTAACTGTCTTTCATTTTAAATATGGATTCATGATTTACACTAATGTTTGTGAAAATTGCAACACCATGGAGGAATTACGCAAATTGAAACAAACTTACAGGAAATGTAAAGTGAAGTAAGACATGCAAATGATTAGAATTACAAAGCGATTGCATTTAATTAGTGGTTAATGTGCCTCCATCAACAGCGGAGGTTGCTATACCAACAACTAACGGAGTTCGAACGAGGCCGCATTCTCGGTATGCAGCAAGATGGACTTTAGTACAACAGTGATGCGTGTTTGGAAGAAATGGATAGAAGAGAACCCAAAAAGACAAAATCCTGGCAGTGGGTACGCAATAGCATAACGACACGGGACGACCCACACCTCATCCTCATGGCTGTGACGGATCGTACAGCGCCCTCTCATGTATTAGCCCAACGTTAGACCAAGGCTACAGGTGTTATGCTGTATAGCTCCACGGTTCGTCGCCTTCTGCTGCAGCATGAATTGTACTTTGAACTTATACTTTTGATTTCTTCTACGCAGGATTCCTCTGTCACTAAATCACAGACGCGCCCGACTTCAGTGGGCACGGCAACGCAGTGCGCGGTGTGCCCTTTTGGCAAGAATTTGATTTCTCCGATGAATCTCGCTATAATCTGGAGTACAATGATGGAAGAGTACGCGTCAGACGTTACAGAGAAGAACGTTTGCTCCCACAGTGTGTTATCCAGCGTCACACCGCACAAATGCCTGGCATCATGGTACGGAAAGCTATTGGTTTTAATTGTCGATCCAATCTAGTGCAGATTGCAGACAACCATAACAGTGATAAGGGAAGTTGTGGAGCCAGAGGTCCTTCCAATTCTTCGACTCATTTCGGTAGCTGTATTTCAGCAGGATAATGCCTGAGCACATGTTTCTAAAACTGCACAAGCCTTCTTTGTGGCGCAACCGGGTTTTGATTCTGCTATAGTCTGTTTATTCCCCCAGAGTCTCCCATTGAGGATGTCTGGAAATTTATCGGCCGGCGACTCGCTCGTACAGCTGGTGGGGGCACACACTAAGATTTACCTTTGGCGTCAAGTCGAAGCCATATGGAAAGCCATTTTCCAGGATTACGTTCAGAACCTGTATGATTCAATGCTACAATGTGTACAGGCTGTCATCACTCGGCGTGGCGGGCACACAAAGTACCGATTTCCGACATTCGTTTTGTTTTTGTCTTGTAAATTTTATTGTTTATTTGTACTACTATCAGTAGTGTGTGGAATAAATTTCATTCACTTCCAACATTTCCTTCATGGTGCTTCATTTTTCACTAGGATTAGTGTATTTTAGAACAATAATAGCAGTAAGAATGACAAAAATTTAGTTTAATAGATATTTTATTCAATTCAAATAACAGAGTAGCATTTAGCATTCAAATATCTTATACTCCTGTCTTATTTGTACTCAAATACAGGAGCAACTTCTTTTCAAAGAATCTCAGCAACTTTTCAGGAGATACCAAGACCGGGTGCAACATGCTCTTTTCCTGGAACTTCTGGTCTTTAATCTGGTGTACAATGCACTTTCCTTCCTAGCATTCACGTTCCTTCCATCTCAGGTATTTATTTTATCTGTAAAATATGACACACCATTTATCTGTACCATAACTCACTGGATGTTATCTAAACATATTCTTCTATAAAAGATAAATTATGATATTCACTCTCTTACCGTAAATCCTTGGTGGATTCCATTTATATACGGTTCAGCGTGCATTCATCAGCACTAAATGCTTGCTGTTATCAGCTCTGGTCAGGAGTTATCGACAATTTTACAGCATTTTCTTCGATGAAAATGAAGCCAAAGAAATCGTAAAGCTGTAAAAGTAACTGGCTGCGAAGGAAGCAAGAACCCAGAATTAATAGTGAAATGACGAATAAAGAAATGAAAGATCTTATAACACCAACGACAGTGAAAGCAGTGTTGATAAAGGAAAAGATAAAACTGCCTCTAACTTAAAGCAAATTTAACGAGTTGTTAAAAAAGGCATAGGAACTGACAGATTTAGAAATGGATATTGACGCGGGAAAAGAAAAGAAGAGGACACTTTATGACAGGCGTTCAAAACCTCTACTTAAATAACTGCGTCAAACATTGTCCAAAGCCAAAATCACTAGCTTTCTTTAAAAATAATTGTATTACGTATTTATTTAGCTGCAACAAAAATTGTTTCAATTAATATTTTTTGTCACTCCTTTTAATTGCAACAGTATTGAAGTTTGCTTAAATTATACAACTAGTTTCTTAATTTTAATTGTACCTAATATATTTTGCCTGTAGAAAGTTAATTTGGCGGAATGCAATTTTGCCTTACGCACAGGTATTAATGACGTAACGGTCCTGTTCCGCAAGGATTTACTGTGGTACATCATTTCATCATCATCCTGTAGCCACATTTATTTATTTATCGGAATTCAAAAGATAAATTCTAATTAATAAACAAATGAGCAAACAAATAATGCAATCGGCTGCAAAATGTTTTCTCAATTGCACAGGAAAAGATAATAATTTGTAGAAATATAAAAAAGTGCTTCAAATTTTTGTTTCTTTCCAAAATATGCTGAAAGGTGTAAAAATCTTATGTTGCAGTTTCTTGTTAAAATCACTTAGGATGTCATAACACATAACTGAACATACCACGGAAAAAATTTATCCGACAGCAATGACATTAAAGGCTATTGATTGCAATAGCACAAAATGCGCTGTTAACACAATGCAAACTCACTGCAATGTTTTAGAGAAGTAATCAGTCCTTTAGTACCTGCCTGTCCTTTAGTACCCTTTTCTAAACATATTTAGACATATTTTATAATTATCTCTTATAAAGTATTAGTTCTGAATTCATTTTTGAGAGAATTTTAAAACGATATTTATTTTATTGTCCTATTCCCCCCCCCAATCGCTTGGAATATTTTCTCATTAGTTAAACTCATCTTCTGAACTTTCGATTTGAATGTCAACGAGCGTTGTAGCTGTGACTGATAAATACTGTATTCAGTTTTAAATAATTACCATTTATAGAATGTCACTGAGTTAGAAAACCTTTAGATCAGCGGTTCTCAACCTTTTGACTAACGTGTACCGTCTAAACAAAAATTTAAAAACTTTAGTATCACCACTATATTTTACAATGATTATTTTTCAATTTCTAAATAGAAATATTAATAATATATATATTGCCATTTGCACAACCTATTGGCTATTTGTATTAAATAGGAACACATTAAAACATTAGATTAAAAATTGGTTACCATTTTAATTATAAAAATTTAAGTTATAATACTTTAATTCTAAAATTTAGTGCGAAATTTGGATCTGTTTAAGAGAGATCAATTTCTTCATTTTTGGTCGTATTTCACTTAGCTTTAACCGTTAATTAGGATCCACTTTTAATTTTGTTCTGTATTTATTTTTCAATATGACATAGTAGAAAATCATTTTTCACACAAACAGGTTGTGCAAAAAGGCAATAAAAATTTAATAGCTTTATTTTAAATGCCTTTAAATTCTTTTTTTCGGTTCAGCAAAAAGTTAACAATTTTTTTTTTTTTTTTTTGTTTCCAATCTTCAGTTAGAGGTCGATCACAGAAATTTCTATCAATTGTTCTTTTTTTTTTTTTTTCCTTCAGGAGATTTTTGAATTTGTTAAAAATACTTTGTTTCTTTGCGTACCACCTATTTTTCTCTTGCGTACCACCAGTGATGCGTACCACCGGTTGAGAATCCCTGCTTTAAATAACGTATTCTCTCAAAAAATTAACTACAGGAACCATTTTAGTTGGTTATAGAATTAGCTGCTAATGCAGAAAGAAATAAAAGTTTGATAAAATATCTATGTTTCATTTTAAATCACAAATCGATGATATGATCATAAAACTGACCAAAAAATATTGAACAAGTACTAATTATATTGCAGAAGATGCAGAAGAAAAACGTTTTCAATATTAAGATTAATCTGCAACTGAAATACATAATCCTATTTAAATTTCATATTTTCTAGCATGTAAAATAACTTCCCCCTCGGGATTTGTATATAATTTTTAAAAAAAGAATCTATATTTGAGGAAAATGAATTACTAAGAGGGCACTTCCTGTTAAAATTTGGAATGGTAATTTTTTAGTTTCCTTGTAACATTTCATCCGAATTAAACTAAGATTTGCAAGTTTATTTTATACCTTTCCTTTACGCCTCGTTTCGTTATTTATCGCTCAGTCCAAAGGTTTATGTTAATCTGATTATTAACAACATTGTTTAAATTGAAACTAAGTATCGCATGACTTGTAATAGAGAGACACATTTGGTTGTTCTTTCGTCCGCCGATCTTACCTTTTGACTATTGTTATTGTTGCAGACTGTTGATGGAGAGCGGGAGCATCGTCTGTTTATCGTAGACGAGTCGGTTTTGCCGCGTTTCTGCCACCATCGAGTGAAAGAACGCCCGTTAGGGAGACAAATGTTGGCAGTAGACGAGTAGGCATCTGCAATTGTATTTCCATTATTCATCTGGCAGCAAGCAGCTATAGCACTGTATATGTGCTCACACTGAATGATACCAAGATGTTAATAATATACAAAAGAATATAGTAACATGCAATAAGCTACAGTAATATAAATTCGCAATGAAATACAGTATAATCCATACAGTAGAATACAATACGTTAAGTAATATGCATACAGTAGAAAACAATATGCATTACGTATATGCAATTAATGCATAGACATAGTTAACAAATTTGATTCTTGATTATGTGTAAAATGCTAAATTCGTAAAGGACAAATGTAGAAAATTTCATATTAAAACATGAAACTTCAGTTCAAATGTTCGAGAGTCAAATCACATCAGTTAATGCGTCTTTTACGCTACAGAGATTTTATGATATTATGTATTAAATGTCATTAGAACATTATCCGTTTAGGAAATACTGTTATGCTATAAAATAAAGAGCGTAATAAATTGTTATGCCCTGAGTTATTTTTTTGCGAAGCTCAACCTAGTTCTCCATTCTGAAAGAGCGCAAGCATTGTCTTAACAGATATTCTTTACTAAATGACCTTGTACCAGAAAGCCTGTGTTGAAGTAAAAGTATTGTCGGAAATTAGTCCAGACTGTAAAAGGTTTTGCTTTAGATTAGGTTGCCCGAACTAGTGTTGTAACCTTGGAATAGAAATACTGATATTGTATCCAGTTGAATTGTATGTCCAGGCATATGCTGAAAAATCAAGAACTTTTTCTGTATTATTTTAATTTGAATCTTGCAACTAGTGAGGCAAAATAAAGTTAAGATATTAACTATCTTGTGTGCTTGTTACTTTTAGAGTCAGATTAAGTTTTAGGTGAAAGTACGCGCTTTAAAGTAACATTGAAGGGGTGAGTGTTTGATGCAGGTGCTTATTTAATCAGCAAAATTACTTAACCCTTATAATCTTACCAATATTTTAATATACAAAAAGGATAACCATAACTGTAGATTGTATATTACAGTAGCTATTATTTAAGTGTTAATTCACTTAAAAAGTGATAATATTTCTTTTTGCTTACCTTTCGAGATTTTATTTTAAATTAAAAATTAAAGATTCAATTAAGTTTATTCTTACATATGTCAAAAACATTTATATCATCCAGATAACGTAAAATTACTTAGAACAAGTAATATAAAATTTTTTTTTAAAGTCAATTCCTATTTAGGTCAACAATTTACTTTTTATTAAATTTTTTCGTATCTAATCTATGAAGCTGATTGTGGTCTATAATTTCTCATTCTACCCATCTCTTGTAATGCTTCATTATTGCAAGGAAGCTTTCCAGTGAGATTCGAGCAGTTCGGTTCTTCGATTAATATTCCATCTATCGATTCCCGATATTATAGCACACGACTCAAGGCTACATATACTTGACCTGCTGCGAAGAGGTTTCGTCCTAGATATATTACTGCATAATCTACAGTGCTACCTTGCATTTTATATATTGTTGTTCTCCATGATACTATTAATGGTAGCATTCTTCGTTTAGGAGTACCATAGCTGCGTTTGGCGGGGAATTGCATTGATATTGACTGATTTTTGTGAACACCATTATTGCCAAATCCCCATATCACGTTAACCTAGAAATATGGGAAGAATTTTCTCTGCATAATGGGATATTACATCCACTTCATCCAACTCTATAAAACCACAATTCTTTAATTCCATACACTTTAGCAATCTTTAGAACTCTGTCTTCTTGTTGCCACATATTTTTGTTAAATATTACAATCCCATTTATCACAGTCATGTACTATTTTTTGTAAGTTATTATAAAATTAATTTTACAGCACGCGAGAATTCCTAATAAACGGTCATTATTTCTAAATCTTATAATATATTTAATAAAAACAGCATATCTTTAGTTCCAATAAACAGAAATAAATAAGTAGGAATTGACTTTTAATATGTGGGAAAAAAACTGTATTAATATCAAGTGTCGTCCACTACACGTTAAAAAATGTACTTCAACTTGAGTGGATGAATAAAAAGTATTTTATTAACGAGTGAAAATTTGAACAAGATATAGGGAGAGTGTGAGATAATAGTAGGAATTTAATAAAATAAGGATGAAATGTATTGTTATGAGTTAGTTGATAGTTAAAGCTACGTGCAGGTAGCGAGGCGTTGCTATTATGAAAATCTATGATGTTTTATCTTTATTTTTAAGATTAGTTAATACGTCATTCAGTGAGAATTATCCTATTCATAGTAATAAATTTCATTTAGTCTTTTATCAGTTAAAATGATAAGAATGGTGCAGTTAGTGTTGTATTGTGAATTTTCTCAAGGTCTCCAATATATTCCTATTTTGCGCACTTGCTTTGACAACTTAACCTTGATCTTACGTTGTAGGAACTACACTGGTTTAGGCATAAATTCTAAGTTTCTAGACAAGCACGAGAGAAAAAGTTTTCGATGCATGAAATTTTCGTTGGATGTGATTTTCTTATTTGTATTTGCATTTTCAGTAGTCTTGAGATAATTGCAGAGATACGCGATTCACATTTTTATTTGTATCAAACACGCAAACTTTTAACCATTACAAGAGCACTAAATTTAATGGAAAACAAGACGATTTTAAAATTAGTACGGTTCTTTAAAGTAAAAATAACACACTGAAAACGTTATTGGAAAGTTCAAACAACAGGAATCAGCGGTAATTTTTATAATTTTGCGGTACAAGTTTCGAAGGTTTGACTACAAGACCTTTTTTCATCAAATGAAAATGAAGTGAGTGAAAACGAGGGATGTCTGTGTTCAAGCGATACCAGTTGTCGTTTCTTATTTTTCAGATCACTACGCCTATAGTTTCTGCACTCACCTAAGCTAAGGTAAAACGAAGATGTTTTTCAGGTACTTTAACTGATATTCCAAATAATTTTCATTATTACACTAAGATATCTCATCGCATCAGAACACAATTGAAATTTACCTTAACTTGTCTATGGAATATGAAATGCATTATAATGAGAAGCAAGAGCAATTTCATTAAACAATTGCAAAAGAATGTTTCTATCTCAAATTTCTTCTCAAAGAAGAAATATGAGGCTACTTGCTACAGTGAAATGTTTAAGATTCAATCTCACCTGAACTAGATAATGAACTAATGGTATTTAGGATCTTTGCTTTTTAACTATTTCATATTCCTTTCTGTTGTTCTGTGGAGAAAGATAAAAGATAAAGAAAGGAAATTTATGGAGAATTTTTATATCAGTTACCAACAAATTTTAATTATTTTTAGTAATGCTATTTTTAACTTAAACCTACTTAAATTCTGTTGAGGACGAAAGCATGCAAAGACAATTGAAATCTGTCTGAGGTTAGATAAATAAATTTGAAATTAACATTAGACGCTGAAAGTTTTTATAATAACCGTAATAAATACTAACTTCCATAAATTCATTGAAAGCGTTATTATGAATATTATTAATATAAAACCCTAGTGATAATTTGTATACCTAACCAGTGATTTTTGATTTCGAATACTTGCATGTTATTTTATCTTCTATTTTAAGTAATGAGCTTAATTTTTTCTTTCTTTCTTGCAAATTTTACTCAGCCTTTTTTATTATTTTATTGTTAACCAATGAAATGTTTTAGAGCGTTTAATTTCTTCTATTTGATGTAAGTAGGAGGAGCTTTCAGAAGTTTCCCGTGGAACAGTACAAACTGGACAATGGTGTAGGAGTACAATCTTAATAGTACAGTTTTGCATCTTTGTGGCTGCGTACAAAGAGAGTTTGTTCCGAAATCCAGCTTCTAAAATAGTAGTTGCGTGTATTGTTCTTTTCTGCATGAGCTTAGGAGAAATGGCAACTACTATTTACAGGTAAGAATAACACATACATTCGCTGAAAATGTAGTCTAATGTAAAGAAAACGCTTAATTTTTTTAAGAATTTTTCTTTTCAGTTAAAATAAATGTAGTTATTTACTTTCATGCCTCGCATAATTAAGTTACCTTTTTCAGTGCCCTGCGTTGGCAACACGTTTTTGAAATTATCGTCTTTCGGCCGTTAAACAAACTGCCTTTTAAAACTAGTGTATTAGGATGATACTCTCTGTCGTAAATGAAATTACACTGCATGTCCATATAATAAATAACTATATTAAATAAGGACTTCAGGTGATCTAATGATATTCTGAACTGATATATTTTATTTTGAAACGTCATTATACAGTAGTATTCGAGAATACATAGTGAACTTAAAATATAATTTCTTCTTTAAATATGAAAATCAGTTTTCGACGTTTAGGACCATTTCTTATTTGTGATATTAAAATATATTTTATTATCATTAAGTTTAATTATTGGTAATACTGAAGAGCAATACATTTTAAATAAAAACTGCTCAAAGAAAAAGAAGAAAAAATGTGCTCCATTTTTTTCCCTTATAATTACAATAACTCATTGTTGGTAAATAATAATACGCTTATCAGCAGCAAAATTGAAACAATATGCCAGAGAAATTGTAAAATATGTAAATTATTTAAACTGACAGGATAGTTAAATTTGTGAGAATTTTTTTAATTCTTCCTTACGTATAATTGTTACACATCCAGCTCGCACTGGAAGATCTGTGTTTCGAATGCCGACAATGGTATTAATGATGTTTCGTGCTTTTGGTTTCTAAATTATCTAATAGTCTGTAAAATTTAAATAAACGATCGCTTTCATGTGTTCAACTGAAATCAGAGAAATCATCTCAGAAACCGATATGCTAGTTTTGGCTTTGCAAGGCCATGAAGGAGAGAAGAAAGTTTTTGTTATGATGATCCAATGATGTCTCGTGTTCAGAGATGTGTTGTTTACCAGCAGTTACCGGAGTCAAAGCGGAATATAAACCTTAAAGAGCTGAATATCGGGTTATTCCAAAGAACTATCGAAACATGTGCGGGATATAATCCCAACAGTTGTCTATAATTTAAACTCAGAGAGATGATCTTTCTAAGTTTCATTTTGGAACAAAATCAGTTTCTTCGAATGTCTAATTCTTTTGCAGCTGTGAATGAAATAGGCATTTCCATAAATAGAATAGTAGTGATAATTTCTACCAAAACGACATTAGAAAGGTTTTAAGATGCTAGTTTTCAAATTTCCAAGCTAAACATTTTGCAGCTGGGATGGAGTTAAGCCTACGTCGTCACTTAGAGTTACTAGATTGTTGCGGAGTATTTCAACAATGAATGTTCGAATATTGAAATAAGCTAATGATAATTTACTTTTCTATCTCGGACGAAGCATTGGTTAAGGGATTGTATACTTCTTTTACTGTAATCAGAATTTCATAAAGGAATATAAAATAGCTCATTTCCTGGCATATGGTTGCAACATAATGCATGTTAGATTAATCCTTTAAGATCACATCTTACAGATACTGACAGCTCAAGAACATATTGATTTAGTAGCAGAAAGATTATAGCAATATTTCTAGTGTGGCCTGGTATAGTCACTCGTAATGCAACACCTGACGACTAGTCCACAAGACAGACATCATGATCATGCTTGAGGGCGTAGATGGTCTTGAAGTGTGAGGCACATAGTCTCGGGATGATAACCAATGCCTGATACGGTTGGGAGATTCATACTGGACTCAAGTTTCATTACTCAGCATTCAGCCAAATATGGGTCTGTTGAGGTGCCGAGACAGCAGTAACAAACAGGCTGTGTCTCATTGCTCCTTGTTGACTGCTGACAATGCATGAGTTATCCACTTACACATCTTGTATACCTTCTTTATATGGTGCAAATTAAGTGTTCTGCAACTTCACCATACTTCTGACTGTTTTCCTTCTCTATGACTGCTTTCAAAGCTTCATTATCCAACACTGTGGTCACTCACTGAGGGATCAATAACAAAGCTCGGATCTACCTGCGTGAACTTCTGAAACCAATTCTTGGCAATCACGTTGTCCTCACTATATGGCTAATATATTCGACCACTGCTGACAGGCCCGTCATACAGCAAACAACCTCAAACGAACGGCTTCATCATTTCCATTTTTCATTCAGTGGAAGAGCTGCGAGTATTGCGTATGCGTAATTTGTCTGTATTATTTCAAGTAAATGCTTGCAATAACCCTCCGTTGCTTTTTCTGGATCGAGAGTCATCCCTTTTACTTTCTGTTTTTTGTTCATCAAACTGAACGTCCACCTTGAATTAAAGTCAGTTCGCAGTTCAATGATTAATGACACAACTTTCGAACTTTTAATAGTTACTGAGGTTCCACTGAGGGACATCATGATGTACATTTTGAAGAAATCCTCGAATTTATTCCCATTTAGAGTGAAGTTACATGACTAGGGAAAAAATAAACTTGTTATATTAAGGCAGCGCTTCTTAAGCTTTTTTCATTCATGACCCCTTTTTAGTCAACGCGATATTTTTTTTTTCGACCTCTATTAAATACAGATTAAAGCTATAAAAATAAATATTGTCTCATAAATAATTTACTTTTTGGTAAATATTGTTTGGTAAATAAAATACATATGATGCCGGCCAAATAAGATAGTGGTTAATGACTGACTATCGTAGCGAAGGGCCCTGGTTGAATTTCGGAGAAGGCATGGACATTGTAAATGTATACTGCCTTTGGGGCATTGGGTAACTCTAAACATATGGCGAGCCGTAAGTTCTCTCATCTGGATTGGTAGTAACGGAGGAAGGTTCTAAGACTTTCGAACTAACCCCCCCGGGGTCCTCTCCCTCAAACCTCGAGTGCAACTGAGGAAAACCATATTGTCACCTATATAGTGCTCGAAGCTCTTGCCAACGACAGGCGTAATCTTGTATATACCCTTGCCGTGATGCATTTCGTAGGCTTGTTCTGATGTTAGACAAGCGAAATTAGTCAAGTAATAGTTTTAGGATTTTGTTTCAAGTATACGCAAATTAATCAAAGAAAATAATGTTTTAATGAGAGTGATGTTCTTGTTTTTTGCTGCATGAGAAATTAAATCTCGGAGCAATATTTCACACGACTGGACGTAAAGCATCTTCAGCGTTTTTCAGTACTGAACAATATTCGGATTTAATAAGCGTTAAATCTGAAAGAGTCGTTTCATATAAGCATGTGGTGCTCAATGGTAGAAGAACATAATATTTTACAAATTGTGGGAAACTCAGTTCTAGCTCTGATCCAGAATTCCATCAAGGAGTTTTGCGCAGTTTCAAGTTTTAAGTTACTCGATAGCAAACTTCTTTTGTGCTTTATATATCGTGTGACTGCTCTCATGAACATCAAGTAACACTATTTCTTTAAAAATGTCATTAATGTAATTTCTTTAAATTCATGTATCTGAATGTCGCGACCGCAACATTTCGCTGGGTCGTTGCCCATATTTTAGGAAACGCTGTTCTTGATTTATAAATAAGAACAATATCGTATTAAATATTCTGAAGCTTATATTTTTCTTTTATATTCTGAATAAGATAATTATTGAATTGAACTAATATCATATAACAGAAAATTACATTTTACAGATTATATGCAGGCCACCCAGAATCCTTGATAAGACATACTTATTATGTCGTACTGACAACGGGCGTCTTACTACCATTTCCTCGGAAGTTGTACAGTGGAATATTAGCCGCAGCAGTCATTGCGGTGGACCTCATGCTATCCAGTCTTAGCTCCTCGCATAAAGAGAATATAATTACTGTGGTATGAATTTTTGATTTTATTAGTTAAAACTGTATGCTAATTTTGAAGGATATAAATGCATTGGCGGTATATAGCTTGGCTGCGATAAATCTATTTATGCTATTATTTCAAAATTAATTCTCATTAAATATCATAAATAAACTTACATATAAGCTAAGAGGAGACCATAATGCCGAAAAATAGGATTAGGGTACTCTTGAACCACGGTAAAAATACAGGAAAAAAATGGGCGCGGTGCCTAGAATATCAGCACTTGCATGATGAATGTAATTGAATAGTTAAGGAAACTTTTAATGTAGCATATGGCTATTGTGAATGGCTACTCGTGCTGTACGGGTTAAGTTAATTGATTAAGACAAAGCAACTCTAGGGATATCTGCTTATGGGGAGGGATGCCTTCGTGTAATAATGTTTAAGAGAAACTGGCTTGAGTGCATGTTATAAAGGGGAAAAACCAAAGAAACCAACCATGCAGACAGTGCGTTCGCAGGAACTTATACCAGGTCAAACTACCAGCGTTCAGCGACGTTACCGCTCGGCCACTGCTAAACTCTCATGCTGTACAACAACTTGAAGACATACTTACATACCTGGTGTTCTTCTTCAGCTCCATATTCTTTTTAAAACGACATCTAGGGAAATAAATTAAAAGTCTACGTTTGTTTTCAGACATAAATTTTAATTTTAATATTTTTAAATTACATTATTATTATGCTTGTTTTTTGTTTGTAAAACCACCAAAGTCTATTTGATTGCTCTATTTACTGTTCTGTAGACAGTATAGGAAGGATATATAAATGCAAAATAAATATTTATTGCTAATATAACATAATTATAGCCTATTTTCTACTATGTAGATAGCACAGAAAGATTTCCTAAATGCAAAATAAAAATTTATAGTTATTAAATACTTCTTAAACTATTTTTGCTTAGAAAATGCTTCTAACTACTAACAACAGTTGAGGAAAACGTTCACACTAATAATTCAGTATTTGGGACCTTAATCTGGAGCTTGTATTTTAGAATAAACTGCAAAAATTGAGAATTTCCACGTTTCCGCTTCGTTTTCCATAGCAATAACTGAAATATTTCTGCGTTAACGAGGATTTCTTCCTTATTAATGTCACCGTGAAAATAATATAGCTGATATTCATAATTATCATTCAAAAGTTTCGATGGAACCAAAAAGGTACGTATAAAATAAGTGTAGCTATTGAAATCATATGATGTCTTTTAATATTTTATATAAAAAACTATTTTTCTTCTCAATTTAACTCCAAATGGTAATTTAGAATTTCATTATTCTGCATTTGCCTAGACGATCCACATGATTAACTTTTATAACATAATGTTTCAGGCTCAAAATGCCGGCCTTGAAATGGCGCAGACCGCCCTCTTCGCTTCCCTTTAGCTACGCCCACTGCCTGATCATGGATATAAGCAACTCTTCTCTCCTTGTTTGATGCTAATCTTTTAAAATGCATGAAAAATAATGGATACAGATGTAACTAGTTCAACATAAAGTGAATACCGTAGATACCAAAGATAATAGGGTCGAGGTTCAACCATTCAGACTTCAGCCTAGAAAAGGACCGCATAACCATTTTACGGTCGAAATGCCTTGAACTCGATACAACACAAGTTCCCATTTCCAAAGTCGTGAACTAGTTTTTATTATATTTTTGTATCTAAGGTGGAGCATTAATTAAAGAGCAGAACTAAATGGTGTGTTTTAGTAGCAGATTTATTCAGTATACTTTTGAACCAAATTAATATATCATGCATTATTTATTCCAAGCTAATTCTCAACTTTCTTTATTTGAGGCATTAGGCCAGAATATGACAAATTAAGGAAAAGGTTTCATTTCTTCTTCGTTCTCTCCCTGGTAATGAATCGTTATTAATCTATAATTATAGAATATACAATTTATACCTGTGAATATGCACTATACAGTGCACAGATTAACCAGACAGCTCTTACGTGCTTTACCGTAATCAAGTAAACCAAACAAAATCAAACCACTGCAAAGACGGATAAGCCAATAACTAAAACATTTAGCACACATGTCTTTGGGTGGTGAATATTTGCGCTTCGATGTATATTTTTCACATGTCTTTTAGATTTTTTTTAATTAGATTTTTTATATGAATGATTTATATATGATTTTTATATTTTAGATTTTTCATATGAATCTTCACTTGACAAATCAATAATTTCAGAACTCTACCATTTACACCACCGGACAAAGTAAAAAGAAATCTTTTAAATGAAGTTTATTTGAAATGTATAATTTGAATTAATTTATGTTGACAACTTTTAAGTATATAATCAAGTTTAAGGCTATCTTAAGTTCACGCCGCCGCTGTTGCATACCTGCTATCAATTCATACTTAAATTATTAAATTGTGACGTGTTCGTTTGCTCTTTAAAAGAGTGTATAAACATTAAAGCAAAATCTAAGTCACTCTTTATCATCTTTTCGCGAATATTTCGGAAACAGTGAAGAAATTGGCCAAAACGGAGGGGGATTTTTTTCAAAGCTCATTTCTAAAATAGACATAACCAGTAACAAAGCAAGTACCAGTTCTTACTAAAACCCTTACTTGGCATACTGTTTATTCTAAACTGTTCTGTAGTTTTATTCGAGCTGGAAAATTTTGCACAATTCCCCATGCACTAAAATAAGAGGAATATCAGTGTCTACTTGGGATTTCAAAAAAGTTGCCCCCATTCCCTTAAATGAAGCCTCTTTACGCAGAGTAAATGTCGGGTACTTCAACGAGGGTGGCGCAATATAATACTTTGATCGTACAGAAATGATTGACACAATGACTGTCACAACGAAACTATTACACTATGCGAAGGGAAAACAAGTGAAATAGACAAAAGGGTGCATGAGCTACTCAGAATGCATAGATGGAATTGGCCGCAAGCCGAACGGTTAAGCCAGCGCCCGACCCTTTCGCCGTCGACAGCAATGATGGAAAGTGATTATCACGGTCATTGTTGGACAGCCTGGGGTTCCTATGGATGGAAGGAATATAGGGTAGTGAGATTCATCGTCGCATGGTGTCGGTGTGCGGGAACAAAGCACCCTCAAGGCGTAACTTATTCCGTTGGTTGGCCAAGTTCAGCAGTGGAGTGGAGACTGCAGCCAAAGGTGTCAGCGCGGAACGACCAGTAACATTGCGTACAGCAGCAAATGTGGCAGTCCTGCCGGATTTGATCATGGCGAACAGGCGCATAACGTTCAACAAGATGCAGGAAGAGACAGGACTTCCTCAAGGAACTGCAGGCGTTTGTGCATGGTGATTTGGGAATGACAAATGTGTGTGCAAAGTGGGTGGACCTCGAACCAAGACCTCGGACTACGCCTTGCTTGACAACATGAAGGACGCAGTCAGAGGTCAACATGTTGAATCTTCTGCGAATTGCATGCAATTGTCCCTAGGTGGTGCACAAACTGATTTACCAAAGCCCTTCGGAACTTCCCAGCCAGATGGCAGAAGTGTATCGACATGGGCGGGGATTATTTCTAACTGATGTATTATCAGTTTTTGTTAATAAATTGTATTTCGCTCTATGGCAGCGTTTGTGTCATTCATTTCTGTACGACCTAAATATAATGCGATAGGTGTAGCGCAGTGATTCTACACCTTTTTAAAGCTGCTGTTAGCTTCTTAGAAGAGTATAATATATTGTCGAGTATCCGCCAATGTTCCAATTTGGCAAAAGATGACGTTTTATTCGAGTGAATCGAAGAGCGGATGGATATGTTGCAACATCAAGATAGCAATAGAAAGATACGTTGCAACAGCAAGACACCATATGAAATCACACGTAGTGGATAAGTTATGAAATCGGTTAAAAAAAAACTTTCGAAGCTATTTTAGAAGCGAAATTTTATAGCAAACATTTTCTACCTGAAATAGAGAAAAATTTGTATCAAAGTAAAATTATCAAAATACCGACTAAGTTAGTCAATCCCTTTCCGTTAACACAACTGCCAAAAGATTAATGTCTGAACTATTCTTCATAATGCTTGACCATCTTATTGAACAAATGATATTTTTCAATATTTAATGCGTTATCTAATACAGTGGTCTCAAATTTGCGTCCCACGAGCAGTATGCAGCCCCTAAAATAATTTTATCCATCTCGCGAAGGCCTTCCAATTATGTATTTGTTAAAAATATAGTGTTGCAAAGATTTCAGGATTTTTAGTTATTTAAAGTCCGTGTTTGCATTAGTTTCATTTTCATTAAAAACCAACATGAATAACACAGCAGAAAATCTATAAATGGAGTTAATTAGTTTACAGTGTTAAATAAATTTTATTCAAAGGTTTGGCGATGCAGATTTGCTTAATTTTTTGTACCTGTCAAAAACTAAATGCACTCAGTTACGAACTTCTGCACTAAGAATAATCGCTTTGTTTGGGGCTACATTTATAAGCAAATAGTTTTTTTTTTTTTTTTTTTTTTTTTTTTTTTTTTTTTTTTTTTTTTTAGTTGAAAATGAATAAGGAAAGAACTTGACCGATTGACCGATCAGCATCTGCAATCCCTGATGAAGATAATATCTAATAATTACTTTCTAAGGCTAAAAAAATTTATCAGAATCGAAACGCTATCAAATATCAAGCTGTAGTAAAAATTAAAGAGGTTTAGAATTATTTACATGCAGTTATATGTATTTTTATATATGCATCGAAGAAAAATTTCATAAATAAGAGAAAGAGATTTGGTTATCATTATTTATTCTCGAGTTTTGTGCAACTTGGTAAATTTTCTCTGAAAATTGAATTTCTTCTTAATTTGTTTTTAGTTTCAAATATAGCAAGTTGTTTAATGATTAATGAAACTTGATTGAATTATTTGAGAGAAATGTCAGTCTAAGGAATTAATATTTAGCCGTCAATATGTTTGAATTACAAAGTGTAACCAAGAAAAATGTCTTGCATATAGGCTACTAAACGTTAAAGTTCATATGGAAAACA